ATACTATTATAATATTATAAAAATATCAATTAATATTAATTAATATATATCATATATTATTGTCAATATCCCCACTACTTAACCAGTAACGTGCACTCCAAAATATCTAGATATTTGTCAATTTTCAATTTCAATATTAACCCTTTCTTGAATGTCGCCGCAATCAATAATATCACGAATAATATACACGCCCCTTCAGTTGTTTGCAATTTTGTTTGCTTCTCCTGTTTGTTAATATTTGGTTTCGTTCTTTTTCCATTTAATTTTCATCGAATTTTCATCAAACTGTTTCACATTCATTTGGAAATATCGATGTGTAATTAATAATCCATATTGCTCGTCAACAGCTTCGTCAAATTTCGATTTTCACCACTTTTTCAACGGCCCCAAACTTGTAGGAGACAGAATTTTTCGATTGAAAAAACCATTTTCTACGTTTATTTGCATATTTTTCAGACCTGTTTTCCGTATGGATTGTAAACACAATCTACGAGAACATTGAAAATAACCGATCACTTCACGTGTTCTGAACTTGTAACCAATCAGATTCAATGAGCGCTACCTACAAATTGGAAACTTGTTGAAAATAACGAACCTGCAAGTTTTTTCCCCCAATAAAACTGCAAACATTGATTTGAACCATCGAGCGAGTCAGCAACGTTTTAGACTTTCAATCGAGCAGTTGTGTTCCATTAACTATACGGATCTGTTATATTTGAAACTTTTTAAAAGGTTTTCCATTGCTTTTGTATGCATATTTAAGGTAATTTGAAACTTTCAGTATACAGTGAAACAATTCCAAGTATATTTTCGATTTTTGGTTACTCAGTCGTGTTTCTCGTCACCTTTTATTGCAGCTATGCGTTATAGAACGAGTAAAGTTTGTTCTCGCCGTATCGTTTCGTGTATAAAAATTTATTTCAAAATACATTATCGATAAAAATGCAAAAAATTATTAATCGTCATACTGTTACTATACGTCAGAAATTTCTCTTACAACGATATCTCTGGTGTTCTAAAATTAATATTATCTGTCACTATTAAGACAAAATTCCAATTATTAGGTCGTCTAATGTCAAATATCACGTTCCTCTTGATTAACGTCTAATACGAATCCCTAGATTCCTCAGCGTAACTTAGTAAGATTAAAACAAAGTGCAATAAAGCAAGCACAAGGAAGATCGCAAAAACCTCAAAATTTCTCAATATTACTATTAAAACAAAATTCCACAATACCATTAAATATCACATTCGCCTTAATTATAGCCTAATAAGAATCCTCAAATTCCTCAACGGTAACTTACCGAAAATTACACAAACGACAACTTAAAAGAAACTCCACAAATTATAGGATTAGAAATCCTACATTCCCTGTTGCACGACTTAACAGACACCCCAATATTACTAAATTAATACAACGCAAGACACGTTAAATTTCTACACAAAAAGAAAAAACGGCACTAACAAAAATCTGCCCAAGATTTTCCATCCGATCGTTCTAAAACCTCCTGTTTCTCTATCTATTCAGGTGATCTCCGAGTACTGTCGCACTCGGTTGCAGTCGAAGCCTTTCACTCACATCGTGATGGACATGTACCGCGAGGTGATCAAGTCGCCGCAGTACGCGGCTCGGAAACGGATGGCGTATCAACACCTGAATCCTCCGCCTCCGCTGCGAAACCCTTCAGACCTGACAGAGCACAATCGTCGTCAGAGCAATTATCCGCATCACCATCATCAGCAAGCCCCGCAACAGCTCGATCCTCTTCAATCGATGCACAATCCGGCGAAAAATCTACATCAACATCAAGATCGTCCCTATCACTCCGCCAATCAGTATAATCACCTTCCACGTTCCACGCAAGTCTCTCAATACCAGCCCTCGCACCAGCATCATCAGCAGCAGCAACACCAGGAACCGCAGCAAGCGCAGATCCAAAAAATTCACCACTATCATCATCATCATCCGGCGAAAGGCGCTCTCTTCAAGCTTCAATCGCGCAATTCTCACTCGCATCCGAACCTAACGAGCCTCTGCGGCCAGCAACAATTGCAACAGAATCGACGTCAAGAGACGGAGGACCGTAGGACGCATTTTCAGTCGCAGCTGAACGTTCAGACGAGCGGACGTCCGGTTGGACCAGCGATCCATCATCAACGTCGCCATCATCACTCGAGAACCTACTCGCAGCCGATCTACACCAGGCTGCAGCATACGAGAAGCAGCGGGAACTTACCTTCGACCGTGGTGGGCGAGAACAATCACGCGGCGAACGTTTACAGCGATCCTATTTACGCGCTACCCGTTAAACCGTTCCTCAGCTCGCAAGACGTCAGAGTAAACGGACTGTCCGTGAAACCACCTGTCGGGCATCGCAACGAGGATGTGTACACAGGCGCGACGATAGTCAGGTACGATTTCTTTTGTGTGTGTGTTTTTTTTTCTAACGATCCTCGGGATTTTGCTTGCTCGTCCTCGTGAGCGTCGAGATGGCCTAGTTTTAAGTTGCTGCTAGGGTGAGGTTGAGAATGAGGAGATATCGCGTGCAATTCTGATTTGAACCTTTAAAATTAATATTGCTTTGCTTTGAAAAGAAATTGATAGGAAGGTGTAACTAAAAATTACTCAGCAATCGAAAATAAATTTTTGAAGTAAAAAGGAACTCGAACGAGAAAAGTCTGCAGGCACGAAACAAAAAATGTCGCAAGTTCGAAATTTACTAAATCAGATTACTTCCAAAACACACAAAGGGTTAAAGAAAGAGCTTAAACGAAAAAGAAAACTGTCGCGAGTTGTAAATTCAGCAAAATTGCAATTTGTCACGCAGGCGGCCATCGGTGGCTGGTTATTCTCACCCGGATATAGCGACGACATCGTCGACGGAACGGACACGAGAGGAGGTTTATGGGAGATCCGCGGGACGGATGAATCCGTCGTTGCAGAGGCAACACTCAAATCCTCAGCTGCCCAGCAGGGATCAGCGAGACGAGGATTTCGAGAGAGTACCGGACCAGAGCGTCCCAACGACCGATCACAGATGTCCAACCGGCAGGGAGAAAGAGGAGCAGATAGTTCAACAACAAAATCCAGTGTCTTCCATGAGAGTGAGAAGTGTTCAGGGGCCACCGAAGCCACCGCGAATAATCACCACCCTGAAGAAACCTCCGTTTTCCGACGTCGAGAGCAGCAAGTCGGAACCACCAGCGAAACCACCTAGGTGAGTTCTATTTTTTTTTTTATCGTTCGTGGTATATCGTAGAGCAGACATGGGCAACCTCTCCTGGTTCTGGGGCCAAATTATCGTTCTCCCTCCGAGTCAATGACCAAACTAAATGAGTTTTCACGTGTGTTTTATGTGTTCGATACAACTTTGGCTAAGTATTGAATGAAAAAGGCTGGTATATTAAATAAAATTGATACTGCTCAGTACCTAGAGTGCCAAATTTAACAACTTCGCGGGGACGGATCGCGGGCCAAACTATTATAGAGGGTTAATTTAACGAAAAGAGATCGTCGATTTTAGGGGGAGTTCCCCTAGCGCCGGACGCTTAAGGTTTTTCTTAAATAAATCTCTCTACCTGTGCACACGCGACTGAAACGCGTAGAAAACTTATTTTTATTCCTTTTGTCTCCTCTAGAAGATACGCAGAATAACGGCTCCGTAGCGTTTCAATTATTGCAGATATAACTAATGTCCGATATTAGGTGCCGTCCGGCGTTAAGGGAACTCCCCCTAATAAAAATTTTTCTGGCGCATCTGAAGTGAAAATATGCAGACCCGTGTCCGAGAATTTTCGCCGTTGAACATTATTTAACTTTTAATGAAGTAAATTAAAAGATAAATAAGTATTGAAAAGGTAGAATACACTTGTTTCGTTTGTGCCTTCGTTTTGGGAAAAATTCCAACAGTTGTTCAATCGAAAAATTATTTCTACGATACAATACTGTTTGCGATCCTTTATTTGCTCGTACGTTTAAAAATTTCACGGATTCGTTATTTTTGTATTCCTTCTTCAATATCGAAGTCATATAAGTCAGATAATTAAGCGCTAAATGAACGTGTAATTTTTTATATCTGATAGAAAATTATCAAATATAATTTTAAAGTTGCATGAATAAATTACTATGTGTTTCGCACCCTCTGTTGCACATTCGACTCTTTTTTGTTTCACTTCTCTCGATGATAGAAAATCAATAAGTTATTAATCAAACTCCCGATGCAAACGGAGCATGTGTAAAATAAAGTATGAAAAATGAAGTGACTGAAACAGAGGTTTGATAAATTTCAGAAATTTTATGAATTTTTAACAATGCTTTTATGAACGTTTTAATAAACATTTATACGTCGTGACTTATAAGTAATTCATTCTTTCGCCTTTTCACATCGCGTTGCATATTTACGTTAGTATCGCGATCACGATCTTTCACATTGGCTACGAAAATTTAAACAAAGCTGTGAATGAAATTTTCAAAAAATATTTCAACCAGAATTACCAAATGTCATTAATCTACAAAACATCAGCTTTTCTTGCCTAATACAGCACTAAAACAGCAAATATCTTATGATTGCTTGTATAATCAGAAAAAAATGATAAATCAAGGGACTAACAACTCTAACGAGCCTCAAAACTATCAAACAAAAGTCTCATTATCCTATCATTCGTATTATCCCCACACTTTTGCTATTCCTCAATGTAGTTCGCGTCTTAATAGCTGTCGAGAATCAGAAGGAACGAGGTAAACGAGCTGAATCTAGCAGACTACATCGAAATTTCTAACTGGCCACACTCGTTCCCGTTGGAATTTCATCGATCTCGTGCAGGCGAAGAGTGTGAGTGAAATTAGAGCGTGGCATTCGCCAGTCAAACAGTCGTTTCGATATTCTACCGCCCCTTTTGGCCGCATTATTAAGTTTGTCCCGAGTCGTACGTCTGCGTTAATATACGCTTTCAAGCGATCTGGGTCACAACTCCTGCATGGACCACCCTCGAAGAGTGTAAGACTGTCGAGGCTGAAAGCTCAAAGGGCGTCGCCGTGGCGTTCGTCATGCCGGAGTATAGTCGTTGCCCTTAAAACCGACGAGTGCTCATTGATTTCGAATTTCCGCCACGCTATCGTGTCTCACAAGGGAGGTCGTCAAGACACCCGCGCGACGATTTTCACGGAATTTGCGTGGCGAATTTTGCATTCCAGGGGTATTTGTTTCTCTTCTTTCTTTATCGGTAATCTGTTATAATTTCAATTTATGCAAAGCAATGGTGAATTTTGGATCGACGATACCCAAGAGATCAGTTCCACTTTACCCGACCATTTCTTATTTGGATAAGCTATTCAAACTATTTAACGCAGTAATACGTCACCTTATCGTTCCGCTTGTCGCCTAGACTCTAGAACTTAGAGGAAGCAATCTGCCACTTTCTTCTGCTATCGACTCTCCGCGAGCAAACTGCAAAGATCGATTTTAGTCTAACGGAGTGAAGCGGGGAGGATGAGAACGATAGATACCGGGATTAGGATGGAGCGAAAGAGAAACGAGAAGGATAGAAGCAAAGACGTGAGAGAAAAGAGAAGGAGAAAGATGTGCAAAGAATGGTAAGATAGAAACAGAAGAACACGCTAAATGGAGTTAAGAAAGAAGGCTATCTATGTTTAATAACGAGCAGGGAAAGAAGATGAACGAAAAGGTGGAACTATAAACAGAAAAATAAATAGCGACAAAAGGACTGAGTTTTCTGTGAGAAAATCGTACTATTCGTTCAACGAGTTCAATCTTATCGAATATTGTCAACCAGATTATTTGGGACGAATTTCGTGTACGGCCTCCTTTAAAGTGGATCATTTTTAAAAAGCCACTTTATAAAATCTGCGACAGAAAAGTACCGTCAAATGGTATATTCATGTACAAACGCTTAAATTACCAAGAATACTCGCTCGAAAGATGTTTCACAAAGTAGGCTACTTTTTCCTTCCCAAGTTACTCATTGTTAGAAGAGCTCGTCTTGACGAAGCGAGGACAGCATACGCGATTCTGTTAGTAGACTCTGTTCTGTGGTGGAACACATTGTTCTCTTTTCTTCCGTTCCACGTTCTAAAAGCGCATCTGTAGCCCTCCATTAAAATTTTCACCTGCTCTTTTATCCGGCTGATTAGATTCTTCTTACGTGAAAATTGGAAGTAATTGTTTCCCATTTTCACGTGGTAAATAAGTTTCAAGGCGACCGAGTAGTATGATAATTTCGGAGATTTTTTAAAAAATTATTTAAATTAGAATATTCCTTACTTTGACAATTCTGGACTGTTTTCATGGGGAATACCAGTATATTGAAAATTTAACAATTCTGGACTGTTTTCATGGGGAATATCAATATATTGAAAGTTTAACAATTCTGTACCGTTTTCACGGGGAATAACCAGTATCTTAGGAATTTAAATTTGGAAAAAATGAAATTTGTTATTTCTTTTAATTGAAGAAACTGCAATAGAACATTTCCTGGCTATTTTGTGCTAATCAGAATTTTTTGGCTAGGTCTATGTGCATTAAAAATAAATTCAAACGACTCCTGATTAATTTATTTCACTTTATCACTTATCCACAAAATTCGATTTAAATCGACATTCCATGTTCGATACCCTACAATTTCATCGTCTATATAACGAAGCTCAAACGAAAGTGAATTTTGGTAAAGGATTGAACCAGCTGTTATAACCATCGAAAGGGAAGGAAAAACGTACAAAAGAAGGCAGGTTACCTGTTGGACAGGTCTGTCTTACGTCACGGTAGCAGAGGAAGGTGGGGAAGGGCCCTTCTTAAAACGAGTAAGGCCCTTTGAATACACGAAACAGTACATTAACGGTCTCCGTATAAATACACGTTGAATATCACAAAAATTGCAATAGTAAATTTATAACTATATCTCGTGAATTTAATCAACTTCGATGTCTGTATCCAGGTTAGTTTTATATTTCTAATCGAAACAAAATATATCTCTTATTTATCGTTTAAAATGAAATTGTAGAATTCTACGATTAGTTCTATTTTATGGAAAAAAACAAATGTATAGATATACGTCGTAATAAAACTAGTATAAATTAATAAAGAAATGTAACATTAATGCAGGAATCAGAGTATTTCTGTGCACGCGTTTAGTCTCGAGCGAGAGTTGCGCGGAAGATACTTGAGCTAGGGCGATAGAGGTATGAAAGAAAAGTGTTTGGGACTGAGTACTTGAGAGCATCGCGTGAAAGAAGGGTGCGTGGCCAAACGTGGATGGAAAGGAAAATGGCGATGGAGGGCGATGGAGAAAGGGGAAGATAGTGTGAGGAAGAGAAGCACAGGGAGAGAAAAAGAAAGATAGTGAGAGGAAGAGAAACAGAGAGAGAATGTGCGATTATAGGAGTGAAAGAGTCAGGAAGATGCGTGCGCGAAGTCAGAGTGGAAAAGTTACTGTAGTAGGTCAGAGTGGAAAAGTTAGTGCAGTAGGCCAGAGTGGAAGAATCAGTGTAGCTTTAAGAGACAACAGTGCAGACCACTGATTTTCAGATCCACAGGTGTGTCCAAAATTTTTTAATACAAATTGCAGAAGTTAATTTATTTTTTTTTTGTAAGTCAGTCTAAAATCACTTTTAGTTTATGTGCACCTGTGAAAGAAAAAATTAAAAATCGCTGGCTTAGGCTAGCTTGGAATAACATTGAGTTCTGCTGTACAGTTTTGTATTCTGTTAAATGTATCTTATTTTAAATTACACCGGAATCGCAGTTCAATGATAAAATTATCAGAAGTAATCTTCGAAAGAAAAAGGTGAAAAATTTATACCACGATTTAAACCTAAATCTAAAGGTTGAATCTACATAGTTTCAACGGTGCGAAATTTTACTATTAATCTTCATCATTGTAGACTATGCACGTCGTACTCGTCGTAAAGGCTTTCAGCGTTAATCTTCTGTCACTGTGATACAGTCCAGAAGAGATAAAAGGAAATGGCGTAGGCGTGACTTTTGAGCTCTCCATTCCACCCTATCGATACATTTTCCACTTCATTATACATGAACACGACCCCACCGACGTAGAATTAATTTTACACTTGAGATAAAAGTATACTGAAATTTTCACTCAACGAAATATCAAAATCTGTGCAAAATGAAATTTCAGATACGTATATATCTAGTGAAAACTGTCTAACTGAAACCGACGTGAAATAGAAATAAATATAAATATAAAAAAATTAATTAACAACTAAAAAAGAAAAATTAAATTTTAGTAAAAATGCGAGAATACAAGTGAAAAACTAACTGAAGCTGAAACTGACATAAAATAGAAATAAATGTAAGTATGAAAGATAAATTGACTGCCCAAAAAGGAGAATAAAAGAATACGTAAGATTGTGGACTTGAAAAAAAAAAAAAAAAGAAAAGAAATACATTATTCGACTATTCAAGGTCGATACAGCTTACTGTTGTATGCGGTTACAATATACATTTGCCAACACACAATGCTTTCAGAAATCTGGTGAAGAATGGACCGAGGGCTCGACGTGGTAAAGCGGTTCAAAGGGCGCCATCGCGTTTATACAGAGCAGTGGGTGGACCCACGAGATCCTTCAACAAAGCACAGTGCGTTGGCCCTGAATTCGTGGTCCGTGCTAATCAACCACCAAAGACGCTATGTGTTGGCCAAGTGAAGGTAATAGTAATATTCTAGAGTATATTGTATTGAATAACCACTGTCGCGAACCCTGAAGAGATAGAATTTGAATACTAGGATATTTATACAGAGTACGAAGATTGGAATTAGATTGAAATTGTTAAACACCAATTTCTTTTTTCTCGGGAAATGCATGGGAGGTTACTATTCGTGGTTTCTATTGAGAGGGTAGAGGTGGTAGTTTTGAAGAGTTTCATTTTTTGGGAAGGACGTAATTTATGGTGGAGGCCCAAGGCCCATGAGCTTAGCTAATCCTCGTGTTTTTGGCTAAGTCACGTACGTTCGAGAGGGCCTGAGAATTCGAAAGGAAACAATAGTGATGTTTTCCAGAACCCTTGGAAGAGAAAGTTTTAAAGTATCTAACACTGTATACTTTTTAGGAAGGCTTTGGATTTAATTTTTGTCATATTTAACTAGCTTATAAATCTAACATTATGCGCGGTCTCGCGAGTATAAAATGGAAAACTTTAGGTTTGCGATGATACTTAATGAGCGAAATTCCGTAAATTTTAATATAATGCTTGGTAACAGTACACGAGGTTCTCACCGATGCCAACGTTGGATCGGAATCGTCTTCGTCGTTTGCGCGTTCGAAGGTAACTAACTTCGACGCAAACAGTTCGGTTTCGTCGAAATATCGCCCCGTTCCTCTCCCCCCGGATACCGGAGCCGACGCTCGTCGGTATGGTGGAGAGGGCTGCCGCGGGGAAGAAGACGAAGTATTTACGCCGCTCGCGGTCGCGGTGGATCGCACGAACGAGTGCGTCAGCCGACGATGCGAAGGTTGTCGTTCGAGGCGATTTGCTCGACAGCTGTATTATTCGAAATAATCATTTATTTACAAGTAAAAATAAAATTCTCTATTGATAACTTTCTTAAACCTCCCTTCGCGTCTGCTTTTTCTCACGTTCAAACAAGTACTTAAGTGCTTCTCGGTAGTTTTGGAATTTCTACCTACGTTTCCGAATAACCCGACTCGGGTCATTGATACAGAACAATAAAAGTGTCCACGGGGCCCAAACTCTTGACTTTCCTCCGTTTCAAGTGTCCTTCGCCTTTTACATTTTACCCTTGTCTTACACTAAGGTGACAAATACAGATTGTGGAAAATGAAAATAATCAAATAAACTACTGTGGTAAGAAATAAAAAATAATCCTCCCCGTCGGGGAATCGCCCCGCTCTCCCGCGTGACAGGTGGGGATACCAATGTAAGGCGTTGTGCGATGCGCCTAGGCAACGACCGCGGGACCCGAGCCGCAGGGGGCCTTAGACAAGGAGCAGCGCAGGCTGCACCCCCCACTCCACGGCTTGCAGGGCCCTAACGGCCGCAGAAGCGTATAAAAACGGGAAAAAAGGCAGCGGCCCACACATTATTGTACCCAAACCCTTGACCAGCGAACCAACGTCATTTTAACAATCAGTTATTCTAAGCCCTTGTAATTCTTTACTCTTACACTAACCACTTTTTTTTTCAACATACGTTTATTGTGCCACAACAAATAAATACAACAATATATACAAAAGGTATAATAAACCATAACGTACAAAAGGCTAACGATGATAAAGGTACAGATGAGATCGATGGCTCGGAGTTTGAGCTCTCGCGATCTTATCATTAGTCTATCCTACTGCGCTTATCGCTTAGCTTAAATAGAACTTAAGGCTAGCTTATACAAGGAGGTAGATTTCTTTATGTACAGAAAAGGCACTCGAAACTGTACGTTAGTCTTTGGTTCTTTGACGAGGGATGAAGGAATAAGAAGGGAAGGGAAGGGAAGGAAGAGAGAGAGTTATATTTTATTTGTGATCGTACTATAGAGGTTATGTCTTAGCGTAGGTTGGTATTATAGGAGGGGGGTGTAATATATAATCAAGTATAAGATGGAGATGAATTGTCGCGCTAAGAAGGAACATTATGTAATATCCTAAATAAAAGTAGGAGACAGGGTAAGAAAAAGTTAAAAAATAATCCTCCCCGTCGGGGAATCGAACCCCGGTCTTCCGCGTGACAGGCGGAGATACTAACCACTATACTAACGAGGATTTTACATTTGCCTTTTCTTATTTGGCGGTACATGTGTGTGATGTTCGTGTTTTCGTTAAAAATATTATAAATTTACAAATAATAAATTATATTGCTCCAGTGCGTGTCTGTTTTATCTATTTTTTGACAGTTCACAGCTCGTTCTTGTGTTTATGCTGTATATTTCGGTAAAGTGACATTATTTTTTACAACGTTCACAGTTCCTTCCTATAAAAACGTTATACCTGAGATTACCATTGTATATACACGAAACTTAAAAATGATAAATTGACACGTTTGACATCTGTAGTTTTAAAAAAAGAATTTTTAACACTTCGTTCAATAATAGAAGCGTAGATGACAACCGGCCGGATTAGTATAGTTTCGCATTTGTCTGTGTTGATTTTCAGTTTCCATGTGTGAAAGTAGTTTTTGATTTTTATAAATAGTTCTTGGAGCTGTTTTTTTTTTTTTGTTTTAAAGAGTTTACTATCTTTTGTGTATGTTAGTATGGCTAACGTTAGAAGGCTATTGCAAATTTATCTGGGTCGTTGTTGAGTCCGTATATGTTAAATAGACCGCTGATAAATATGCTAAACAAGATAAAAAAATTGTCTGTGCCTTGTTGGAGTCCGTTTTTAATATGAAATGTTTCAGTGTAAGCATGTGATTTTTCTGTAATCCTGAATTTTTTTCCGTGTAGCATATTCCATATCATTTTGGTCAAATATTTTAGGAACCTTTTTTATTTACATATTTGATAAAGAGGCACTCCTACCAGACCGTGTCAAATGCTTTTTCTAAATCTACCGGGTTGTGGAGTGTTTAAATCTGAATCTGAATTGCGTCTGCGGGATAGCGTTATTTTTATCGCAGTGAGCAATTATGACGTTGTTTATGGTCGTTTCGAACACTGCTGATGTAAGCTAATGGGGCAGTAGTTAGCTGGGCTGCTTCCGCCTTTTCTTTTTATCGCGATAAGCTTTGCTGTTTTCCAAACAGTGGGGAAATACATTAAATTTAAACAGTTATTGTTGTTAATGTTAGTGTAGTCAAAGCTGGCCGATTCCTTGTTGTTTACTTTTTTATTTTAATGTCAGTTTCAAGCATAGCATTTTTCATCATTACAGTTCATAGAACAGTCGAACCATGTCTGTTCAAGTACGTTGTGTACTTATGTCTTTTTGCTCAATTTTATAAATAATGATAGTGTGATAATTGTATTTACAACAATGAAAAGTAGGTAACATTGCACGTTCGTATTTGTTTGTAAATTGGGAGAAAAAAAATGAAACAAAAATTTTCCGGTACCGGGAATCGAACCCGAGCCTCCTGGGTGAAAGCCAGGTATCCTAGCCACTAGACCATACCGGAGATGAGAAACTGTTGCTTTAAATATTTTTATGAACGAAATTCAAGGATTTACCAACTATATTTTATTGAACAAAGAAAGACGAATGATAACGCTACTTTAAAAACAACTTTTTACAATAACATTTACTAATTCCATTACGCTTGCTATTCGAATTACTGTGGTTTATTTAAACAAAACTACTTTCAGATATTTTTTTAAACATTAAACTATGGCAAATCTATACGAAACTGTATTTCGTAATATTTATTAATTTTTGCATAAATAATGATTTGCTTTTCGTGATCTATAGTAATCAGTGTGTGCATTTCAGTTACTAAAATAATAAAAAATTATAATTACAA